GTTCTCGAAGTCGTTCAAAAATATGTATACCTCGGGCAGACATTGCAGATGGGTAGAAACAACTTCGAGAACGAGGTGAATAGAAGAATTCAGCTAGGTTGGGCAGCATATGGAAAGCTGCGTCAAGTCTTCACGTCGTCGATCCCACAGTGCCTAAAGACGAAAGTCTTCAATCAGTGCGTCCTACCTGTCATGGCATACGGAGCCGAAACGTGGACACTGACGGTGCGGCTGGTTCACAAGCTAAAAGTCACTCAGCGAGCTATGGAGAGGGCTATGCTCGGCGTTTCTCTGCGAGATCGAATCAGAAACGAGGTGATCCGGCAGAGAACCAAGGTAATCGACATAGCCCACCGGATTAGCAAGCTGAAATGGCAGTGGGCTGGCCATATTAGCCGAAGAACCGATGACCGTTGGAGTAGACGAGTTCTTGAGTGGAGACCGCGTCTCGGCAAACGTAATGTAGGACGTCCTCAGGCAAGGTGGAGTGATGATTTGCGCAAGATGGCTGGCAGGAGCTGGATGCGAGTGGCCGAAGATCGATCCCAGTGGCGTGCAATAGGAGAGGCCTATGTCCAGCAGTGGACTGAAAAGGGCTGATGATGATGATGATGATGATGTATTAAATTTGACCGTCTAGTTGTTAACTACCCAATTATGTAACAACATACGTTTTGACTTTGGTTGCAAATGCGTCGCGGGTTAAACTAGGGCAATTTGGTTGTTGTGGTTGCAACTGCACCGAATTTGATTGTCATAGTCCGGTTTCTGTGGTCGGAGGTATAGTATAGATGTAATGGATTTAGCATTTTAGAAAAAGAGCAAATATTGGTTAATGAAACTTCATTAATAGCACCACGTTCGAAAATAGCTCACTGCTTCTTATGTATTTCGGTACATAGTATAAAAAAGTTTCTTTCTGTGTCCCTATGTATGCTTAAAAATCTTTCAAACTACGCAACGGATTTTGATGCAGTTTTTTTAGTAGATAGAGTGTTAGAAGAGGAAGGTTTATATAATAACATCCATTAGATAGTGGGGTAATTTAGTATCAGCATTGCATCCGTGAAAAAGCGGGAACAGACGCTAGTAATGTTTTAAAGTTGAAGAGTTTGATTGTTTGCTTCGACGCGGTAATAAGGAAGTACTGCTATCTTCTTGACGGATTGTTTGTGTATAGGTATGTATATATATTCTATGACCTTCATAGGTAAAATCCATGTTCGAATCGTTGCAGCTAATCGTTTTTATTTTACTGCAATTGTCATTGATTGGTTTGAATTAGACAATTCTTTCTGCGTTGACTAGTACATTGACTGAGGAAGGCTATAGGCTAAAACAGCACGGTACTAGTAAGAAGGCACAGGCAAGTTGTAGACATGTCTATTTAAAATTGAACGAAACTATGTACTCATACCGACAATGCATTCTTTTACTTCTAAATCTAAATTCGTATTTCCAAAAATAATTGTAGCAACATGAAAAACAAATTATTTCAATATTTTTGTCGTGCCAAATTTTTTAATGTTTGAATGTAATAATAGAAATTGAGTAGGAACATACCAACGTAATTAATAATGTCAAATAATAATAACAGTATTCAAATGTATGTATTTGTTGACGGACTAGCTAACTTTGCAAAAAAAGTGTGCCAACAGAAAAGTAAATTATAATAATATTATATTTGTTAGGTACGCTCCCTACTGCCTAACTACTCCTGCGAAACGTGGAAGGTAACAAAGGATATCACTCACTTAATCCAGGTCTTCGTCAACCGCTGCCTTCGGCAGATACTTGGCATTTTCTGGCCAGAGAAGATCTCGAACGAACGCTTGTGGGAGGCGTGCCGGGAAATGCCAATAGATAAGCAAATTACACGCCGAAAGTGGTCATGGATAGGGCACACCCTCAGGAGAGGTCCCACACACATACCAAGACAAGCTCTAGAGTGGACACCACAAGGCAGGCGAAAAGTTGGCCGTCCTAAGCAAACGTGGCGGCGCACAGTGGCGGCGGAAATAAGGAGGATAGGACTGTCCTGGTCCGAAATTAAGCACATAGCCCAAGATAGGTCCAAATGGAAAAATACTGTGGAAGCCCTCTGCCCCACCTAGGGGATATAGGAACTTAATATAATATATACGCTCCCTACTGTTTCCCGGGTATCGAAAAAAATAATGAGTCGATTAATTATTTTTTGCAAATATAGCCGAACCTCTATTTATTGTAGGCCGTAAAACGGGACTTTTTTACCTTTACATAATCCTATCCTACTAATATTTGAAATGTAAGAGTTTATGAGAATGTATGTACGTTAATTATTCTTTCACGCAAAAACGGCTGGACAGATTTGGTTAAAATTCGGTGTCTATAGGTGGCTTAACACTCTGGATTAACATATGCTGTTTTATCAACACGCAAGTAAAACTGCGTTCAGAATTTAGTAGGCTATAAAGCAGCACTGAAGGCAATTACATACAAAACAGAAATAAAAAAATATACACGAAGCCAGCATTTCTTATCTGACTACTGTGAGAGGAAATGCCGAAACAAACACAGAGGCACCTCTGGCATTTCAATATGATTCAGAAATATTTGTCCTCATAGGAACACTCTATGAATAATAGCATGTGTCATGACAGCGAAAAACGGAGGAGAAATTCCTGAATATCTTATTAATTTTAATTCTTGTATCAACAATCATCATACTTACGAAAAGTGGGATAGCCATACTCGGCAACCGGAGTGATTCCACGGCCTCACAAAAAACTGCCGTGAAACAACCACAGCGTTGTGTTGATTCGTTTGAGTTTACAGGAAGACCAACTTTTCTTCTCCTTCTCATATCCCTTCCCAGTCCTTAAATCTCCAAAACCCCCCATATCTCCAAATATCCCCAAAATGCCCCGGCAACGAACTTGTAGCTCCTGTGGTGTTCCAGGTAGCGCTGATTGCGTCCATCAGGTTTTATGTATTATCTTAATATTATATGATTTCTATTTTAGAAAATTTGGTGTTGCCAACGGTAGCTACATATTTGAACTACGTAGGTAACCATTTTATGGAAATCTATTGCGATACTGAGAGATATAGAGATAATTTTAACATTCTTTTAAATTTAGCCACATTACCGTCTGAATTTTATTGATACTGGCCATAAAACTTATGTTGAAACTCATTTATAATGTGCAATAGAGAATTATAAGGTTCACGTTCGAAAATCAATTTATCTTAGTTGTCTGTGTAAATATAAAATGTCTGTGCATTTATTGAATTGTCTCTGGTGACATGAGATACATTCTAATGTTAGTATTCTTTATTTGAAATTCTTGGACTGTGAACAAAATACTTTTTTGAACGAATTATCTTATAATGAATAGAATGATTGTTGAAAATCGAACTTCAAATTTATGTTGGAGTGAAAAGAGGTGTGTTTTTAATTCATTTAGATTTTGTAAGCTACCATTAAAATATTATGTACACATAAGTTCATCATCATCATCACCCTATAAGTGCTCACTGCGGAAACAAAGGCCTTCTCACACGGAGGAGGTTTGAGCATTAATCACCACGCTTGCTCAATGCGGGTTGGCGATTTCAAACTTACCTATAATTAGAAATTATAAGTCCGGGTTTCCTCTCGATGTTTAGGTACCTTCACCGTATGTCAGTGGTGTCTAAATAATCATAGAAAGTACGTATAAATTGGAAAAAGTTACATTGGTACTTGCCACGTTTCGAACCCACACCCTCATGCATGAGAAACGAGTTTTTTTGTATGTATTAAAGTATGGGATAGCCATGCTTCGGCACGAATGGGTCGGCTCGACCGGAGTGATACCACGGCCTCACAGAATACCGACCGGAAACAACTCCAAAACCCTAATCCCTAAGATGCCGGCAACGCACTCGTAACTCCTCCGTTGCGGGTGTCCATGGGCGGCGCTGATTGCTTACCATCAGGTAATCCGCCTGCTCGTTTGCCGATCTATTACATAAAAAATGTATGTAAGGAAAAAAAGCAGCACCTACAGTAGCTATTGTTATACTGCCTAAGTATACGGCGCATAGGTTTCCGCGCGCGCCTCATAGAGACAATAGATCACCACGGATGAGGCCCTACAGGGTCGATGTTCAGCCTGGTATACCGGGGCCTCGACCTGGAGCAGGAGATGGAATGATGTGGTATTTAGTCAGTAACAGTCTGAAACTAGCTCTCGGCATACCTGAGACCAATCATATTTGAAGACTTTTCCACCACAAAAATTAATTAAATTTTGTTATACTTTTTAGGAATTTGATACAGAATTAATCTATATTTGCCAGCATACCTACTTACTTAATACGTACTTCAGCTACATTATTTAGCCAACTATTTTATTCATCTTTAGCATACCAATAAATAAATGAATAAATTCAATGCAACTTTCGATATACAATTTCTGCTTAGCCTTGGGAAATACCTAATGTACTCCATATTACCTAAGATATGTTATAAAACCTGTTGAATTATATCTATCTGCATAAAACCTTGAATTATCAGCGGAAAATACTAATAACACAGTTAAAAACATTAATCATGAATCCAATCGAGCAAGTAATAGCTACAGACAATAATTTGTGTAATAACAATATTATTGTCAATATCCGTATTGTCGACTTAGAGACTTGAAAAATATAATCATATTTTATTTAGGGTTGATTTTTCAATAGCTACTTAAATGTTATCTGAGGAATAAAATTGTTGCTGTCACCGTCTTATAAAAGCATTCTGACAGAGAGAGACAGCATCAGCATAATTATTCCCAGATAACTTTTATCAGACCATTGAAAAATCCGCCCTTAGATACTTAAAAAGTTAGTATCGTTACCAATGAGAACAATACTTCCGTTATGTATTATAATTTTAATATATTTACAATAAACTGTTACCTGTTATCACGATGTAAGCTCTAGCGGTTTACAAAGAGCGGATGGTTCGTCAGTATTTCTCCAGCCGTCGACCATGTTGCACGCGCGCGTTACTCCGCCATCTACCGCATAAAATCGGAAAGTTTACGAAAAAAAAAGAAGTGTTGACGTGTTTGTGGTTGTTCTCTATTCAAACAGCAGTGATGTTCTTATTTTGAATTGTGATTAAAAAACAAAATAGTTTAGTTAGGTATTTGATTATTGTTTTTTTTTTATTGAAGTAAATTATTGTTTGGCACAAAGTTTTTTGGAATGCTATTTTAATGTGGAGTTTAGGTAAGTACTAACATTTAGCTTTTTTTATCTTGCTTAATTTTAGGAACCATTTTTAATAGTTTCTTGATAATTGGCGTATATTATACAGGAAATAATTTATGTATCATGTTTATCGAACAGGAAAAAATCCTAGAAGGAGGAAGTTATAAAGTTAATAGAGAATTGTTCGCTAATGTGTAATAGTTTCAAATATTTAATGGTTATGGGTATCAATAAAAAAAGTAGATTCAAATTTATTCATTCCGCAAAAGTCAAGTATATATACATACTTATAGAAGTAGTTAGTAGGTATATTCATTTTTTACTTGGCTACGTTTTACTGACCTGAAAGTAAAATACACAATGGCTTATTATTATTAAATACACGTCCTAATTTCATACTCCGAGCTATTTAAATAGATATTTCAGAGGTACTGAGATATTTCAGAAATTTCATCCTGCTGTAACATATTGTAAACTATAAATAAAAATAAAACGATGTGTTCAAGTATTGTTTTTATATTATGTCAGGAAACATTTTATTTAAACAATAAGTATATTAATTTGAATCGGTACCTATCGAATATTTCTAGTCTGTGGTTATATAAAAAAAAGGTTTTGCGAAAAAAATTGGCTTCCGTACGCGGTGTGGTACGCGGCTTCACCCGCGTGTTATTGTGTTAATCCTGGGTATCACCTATCTACATACCAGATTTCAACCAAATCGGTCCAGCCGTTTTTGCGTAAAATAATAACAAAGATACATCCATACATTGTCACAAACTTAAATTGTAAATAATATAAATAAATGTTAATTGATGATGATATTTCTACAAATTACGAGTACATATTTGTAGAAATATGTGCACAAGATCAAAATAAAATAAATATTAAAAGGAGCTCCCATGCAATAAAAATTGTGGGAGAGTTTAGCTTCGGCACGAATGGGTCGCTTTGACCGGTGTGATAACACGGCCTCACAGACAACCAGCGTGAAATACCAACAACGTTGTGATTGAGGTTACCGGAGGCCCAATCCCTCCCTTCTCCCCATTCCTTCCCAATCCTTAAATATCCGAAACATTATCCCCAAAGGCCGGCAACGTACCCGTAACTCCTTTGGTCTTGTGTCCATGGGCGGCGCCGATTGCTTACCATCAGGTAATCCGTCAGCTCATTTTTCAACTTTCCCATAAAAAAAATCTCTCTCTATTCGACTCTTACTTAGTATTTCTAAAGAAATAACTTAGACATCAATAAGTAATTATTAAAGTATTGAATGAAGAAGCTGTCATTATTGTAAGATAATAAATAATGATTTATAGTTGCACGTAGGTTAGTGTGTGTGTGTGTGTGTGTAAATATTTTACATTGATAAGTCAACACAATCAGCTTGATTGAAGAAATATTACATCATGTATTGTATCATTAGAATATACTATATAACAAGAGACCTTTTTATTCTCTACAGAAGTAGATCAGATAAGTAAATTGTTTTATTAACGGATGATTTTTCGATAGTCAGGTAAAAGTTACCTAAGGAATAATTATGATGTTGTCGCTTCAAAATGTTTGTATAAGACAGTGACAGCAACAATTTTATCCCGCAGATAACATTTAATCTGAAAAAAAATCAGCCCTTAGTTTATTAAAAATAATGAAATAGTCACGTGAATGATCTGAGAAAAGCTCTACTAGTTTCAAGTCGCGACGGGACTCTTATTCATTAGCAGCGTGCGCGTCGCAGCAACCTCGCGCAGCCAACTGATAGTCTTATTAGGTCTTTTTAATTGACAAGTTTAGAGTATCTAGTGGCTGGGTATCTAGTGCACAACGTGTGGCGAGTTGAAATGATACATTTTGCCGTCACTTCTGTTAACTCTTATTTCTTCTTATTTCTGACATCAACACACATCATCAGCCTAATGTTTGAGCGTTAACCTCCAAGCTTGCTCAATGGACAATGATAATTGGAAATTATAAGTAGAGATTTCTTAATGCTATTTTTACTCACAGTTTTTCAGTGATGTCTAAATAAACTAAGAAACTACATAGCTAGGAACATGTCACTTTGATATTTGCCAGATTCTGAAGAATCAGGCGTCTTAACCCCCGGACCATCGCGAAATTTTTAACATTTATGCCATTCACTGTTTATTCAATTGATCTACCGAAAACCGTACCTAATAATTAGATACACACCTAATCACTGAATAAACCACTGCTAATTAGGCACAATTTCGCTAAACAGCGTGAGAACAAACGTCATGGAACTCCCCAAAGGGTTTCCCTCATGTTAAAGGTCACCTCAATAAACTCATTGACACATGCTGTAAATCCAACACAATACATACTGTGCCTACCTGATATTAGGTATTACCTAGATACTCTGTGTTTCTACCATTTATAAAGCTATAACCTATCAGAATTTCTCTCAAATTTAAAGAAAAAGGTTTAATTACGTTCTCTGCTGAAGAAAGGCGGTTGGATGTCTAACCAAAGCCTTGGTAGAAGGAGGATTGCCGCCAAAAATGCTATAGTCAATGGTAGATGGCTCCGAGACTGGTCTTGTTTTTTTTATCTATCTGAAATGGGCGGTTTTTTATATTGCGTTAAAAAATTTAAATAAAAAAATTGAGTAGTTTTTTATGAGATAAGTCAGCCAACGAGCATAGTAAGCGATTATCAGCTGCTGGTAACCAATTGGATACGCAGTAATTACACCGACATTTTGAGGATTATGGTTTAGAGATTTAGGTATCGCTGAGGAAATACGAAGTTGAAGGATTGGTCCATCGGAAACATTACTCGCATGGCGAAACAGAACACTCCGGTTATTTCAAGCCAGTTTTCTTTAAGGCCGTGGTCGAGCTGACCTATTCGTGCCGAAACACAGCTCTCCCACACTTTTATGATAATAATGAAATAACTAATTTAAGGATTTTGACATTAACGATTGTAGTGTTATATGCAGTTTCTTGTAACATCATAAAACTATTTACCACATCTTCTCAAAACGTTAATGTCAAGTGCATTTAAAATGGGAACCGTAAATCGTTCGATGACGTCATGCGTAAAAATAGCCAATCACATTCGCATTCCGCACACTTTAACGGAATAATATGGTATGAATGCGTATAGTGACAGATTTCAATTCTTTTTGAATGTCATAGGTCGGCAAACGAGCAGACGGACTACCTGGTGGCTACCAAAAGAGTTACTACCAGTGCGTTGCTGACTCCTGTAAGTAGGTTATTAGGTATTTAAGGATTGGGGATTTGAAGATTGAGGAAGGAATGGGCCTCCTGTAACCTCACTTACACGGTGAAAAACGCAAGCGGTGCTTCACGCCGATTTTCTATAAGGCCGTGGCATCACTTCTGTCGAGCCGATTCATTCGTGCCAAAGCGTGGCTCCACACGATGACGTATATGACCTTTACAAGATGTTTATTGAGATGCAACGTTTAAGTGAATATATGTAGTTCTTTTGTTTTAATTATTCCATCGACGCATTTCTTGGATTTCACTATTTGCAAAACGAGTTCTGCTCATGCATGATGTCCTAGTATGACGTGCATGTGTTCAAGTAACGGGTTTTTATCCTCACTGACATTTTTACTTTCGTTTTCCTCGACCAGCAATGCTTTGTTTTATTTTGTACCTTACTTTAATTTTTTCTTTTTTCTAAAATATTGTTTATCAACTATACCCACAGAGACATTTGTAGAAAAGTAGCGACCGATAAATTTCCCCACTATTTAATGGATGTTATTCTACATAATTAATCTTCCTCTTTAATCACTGTCAAAGAAACCACATCAGTTTTAAAGATTTTAGCATATACTTTGTGACATAGGGACAGATAAAACAAAGTAAGCGACTTTGTTTTATTCTATGTGGTGATTTTGAAATTGAATAATTGTATTATGTATTATTGATGAAAATAGCTATTAACTTACCCACGTGAATTAACCCTTTTACCGCCATGGTCGGTTATAGCCGACAAACAAAATATACTCAATTATGACGTTTTCTGGTCGGCTATGCTCGACATTGGGGAAGAATACCTTGTCAAGGACAATCAAACTATTAAAATAAAACTTAATATGATTATTGGCGAAATGTTAAAGTTGAACTTCCACGTCTTCTTGGAAAGAGAAGCGTGTTGTTATGTTAATGACACTACTAATAACGTGATAGCCACTTGTAAAAAGTGGCTATCACGCTCGTCATTATCGTCTAACAACTATTTTAATGACACATAATTAGTTATATATGTATACATATCTGTAGGTATGTATGTACGACGGTAGTTACTATGTAGGTAGGTACTACTACAGAATATACGTATATAAATAGGTGGTGTTTTAAAAAATATTTAATTGAATATTTAGATACTGCTCTGATTTGATATAAATAATTTACGCATTTGTCAGCTAAATTCTGAGAGTTGTTATTCCAAACTATACCTAATATTATAAATGCGAAAGTAACTCTGTCTGTCTGTCTGTCTTTTCTTCACGCCTAAACTACTGAACCAATTTCTATGAGATACAGACATAGTTTGGAACTCGAGAAAGTACATAGGATAGTTTTTATACCAAAAATCTGCAGGATGTCACTATTCCACGCTATAAAATATTTATTTCATTGAATCATCCTTTCTATAGAAATTATTATCTCCATATTATGTAGATAATTAAAATGACGGTCAAAAATGGAAATGATTCAAGGGTTGCATTAAAATTTTCCGAAAATACACAAATAAAATTACACCTTAATTCACGGCTACCTAAAACCGAAGCCAAACCGATACATTTATTGCAAACGTTCAAATAAATACGTTTCCACAACTAAGCAACAATCTATTATTTATTATTATTACTAATGATGCATTACAATTGCATTATAACATGAATCAACCAATTTATACTTGCCATCAAGGAAATAATACAATTCTAGAATATTGTAAAACAGGGTGTCCCCGAGCTATGACGCTTCATGAACATACTCACGTTT